GTACCTCTTCCAAAGTTGTGAATTCATGACCCTGGGTCATGGGTTTTGGTGTAAGGGTAGGGGAATCTGTAGTGAAAATGCATTATTTCATTGAAAATCTTCTCTGCTCCTTGGCATATCGAAGGCAAACACTTAGTAAAAGTTTTAGAGGGGCCTGGACACAGTTGCATTGTTTGCAATTTTAATTGTGTATTTTCATTCAAATAATAATTTCAGTTTAGTGATTTGAACAAGCATGAATATTCAAAAAAATCAATGACAAAGACATTCTTCATAACATCATGTCAAACACCTGTGTTTGTAAACGGGGCACAAGCTCTGTTATTGTTAATGTTTACGTTTTACCTGGCGTGTTCAATTTGTTTAGTCTGCACACATCACTGAGCACAGACTGACAATACTGGTGACTTAGTTTTGCTTTCTCTCATTTCTACTCTGAATTTTCTGGATTATAGTTTTCATATTTTCATTAATCCACAACAAAATTTCTACTTTTCATAAGTATTATGGATAAAGTTTACTTTGTAAAAGTGCAAGGATATGTGTCAATCAGACGCGTCCCGAAATTCGTATAGTTTTGATAACTTCCAGATAAGAGAAGTTTCTAAACACGCATTTAATATATTTCGGTTTGAAATGCTTTAGCAATATATAAGTCATGATATTATTTAGAAAATTTTAGAAAATATGAGCTTTAAATCTGTGTCCCAGCCCCTTTAATAAGCAAGGGTATTTTTACCAGATTTTTGAACATCTGGACAATTTGTTCGTGTTCTGGGCCTGGCCAGGGTTCTATTAATTTGTGTTCTACTGAGAAGAGTTATTCCCCTTTGCCTTTCACTTTTGATAATTAATAACTGTAAATGTATTTGAAAAGGTAATAGAATAAGAGAATTATGCAAAAAAAATTTATTGTATAATTCAAAAATTACATTCGTAGTTTTAATGATCAGGTAGACTTGTAAATAATAGATAAATAAAAATGAGAAAAAAAATATCTTATTTAATGTTCTTCAAAGACCAGGAGAAGCCAATGTGAGAAGTTACAATATTGGGTAAAAAATAGTACAGAAGCACTAATAGCTTGTTAATAGTCTGCATGGTGATAGCGATAAATTGGGGACAGATTAGAAATTAATTCATGAGTTGTTACTGAATACTAGACTTATTATTTCATTGATCCTGATTATCCTAATTCTCTTGCTTTTGGGCAACAAAGATTCATCTATCAGTTTATTTTATACTCTATTGATCTTCTAAATTGTTGTATTTTACTCAGGTGACCATTAAGCCCTTGGGCCTCTTGTTGGCTCACCTGAGCTCAATTAAGCTTTTCTGATCACATTTTGTTCGGCGTCCGTCTGTCTAGCTGTCTGTAAACTTTACACATTTTCGACTTCTTCTGAAGAACCACTGGGCTAATTTCAACCAAACTTGCCACAAAGTATCCTTGGGTAAAGGGAATTCATTTTTTTCATATGAAGGATCATGCCTTCTTCCAGGGGAGATAATTAAGAACTAGTGAAAATTTTATTTGCATTTTTCAAAAATCTTCCTCTCAAGAACCACAGGGCCAGAAAATATGAAACTTATTTGAAAGCATCCTTAGGTAGTGTAGATTCAAATTAGATTAAATCATGACCCCCGGAGGTAAGATGGGGCCACATTGGGGGATCAAAGTTTTACATAGGAGTACACAGGAAAAAATCTTTAAAAATCTTCTGAAGAAGAACAGTAAATCCTTGCTCGGTCATTTTTTTATGGGAGCATTTTCAAGTAGTGTAAATTCAAGTTTGTACAAATCATGACCCCCGGGGATAGGGTTGGGTCACAATGAGTGATCAAAGTTTTACATAGGAAAAAAATTTAAAAATCTTTTATTCAAGAACAGCAAAGCCAAGATTAGCCATATCCATATAGAAGCATCCTCATGTTGTGTAGACTCAAATTTGTTCAAATCATGACCCCATGAGGTAGGAAGTGGCCCCAACTGCGGATCAAAGTTATGCATAGGAATACATAGGAAAAATCTTTAAAAATTTTCTACTCATTGAGAAGAACAGCGACGCCATGTTGGCCATATCTTAAGGAAGCATCCTCAGGTAATGTAGATTCAAATGTGTTCAATTAATGATCCCTGGGGGTAGGGAGGGGCCACAACAGGGGATCAAAAGTATACATAGGAATATATAGGAAAAAGCATTTAAAATTTTCTTCTCAAGAACAGCAAGCCATGATTGATCATATTTATATAATTTAATTTCGTTTGTAACGCGTCATCTGATTGGATAAAAAATTAATCTATATCGTATAACCTGTGTTGCCTACGTCACAACGACTTCTGTAAAAAATGTATTAATCTGCTTGACGTTACATTTGAAATATGCACAATTCAAAGACATTTTTGAAGGAGAAATTGTCTTATTTTCTGAATTTAATGATGGAAAATTAAATTATAAGGAATGAATTTAATAGTATATAGGAAAAATCATTTAAAGTTTTCTTCTCAAGAACAGCATAGCCATGATTGATCATACAGTACAATTTGTTTATTATCATAGTTTATTTGTCAGGCCAAAACTTTATAATAAGCGACTTTTATAATAACCATAGTCAGCTGAAATTCATGTCAGACGTCTGACATGAAATGACGTTTGTATAAATTATTGGATGTATTTATATTATACATGTTATGTTACATGTAATTTCAATTTTTTGTAGTTTTTTTGAAAATCATTTCTCAATATTTACTTACTGTTTTAACTTTTTGTAATCAATAAATTCACTTAAATAAAGCTTAATACTCTTCAAACTCTCTAGAACTAAAAGAACTTCGACCTGTCTTCTAGATCTCTTGGCATCCATCTTGTTTATTTTCATTTTGATCTACTTTCAGTTTTAAATATATGATCAATTTCAAACTACCAATATTTCATTTTTTTATTCATTTCTTTTATTCAACTAAAGTAGACATAAAAAAATCACTCCTTAATTAATGGGGCAGTTTTATAAATGTAATTAATTATGAACATTGATCAGGCAACAAGCGTAAGAAAGCTTGGGTTAATCAGGGACCAATATATACTAACGTTAGTACATAGGTCACTGGGTTAATTGACACAAAATTTAGTTTCAACACATTTGGTAAAACACATTTATTATCAATGTACAATTCAGGATTTTAACAAAAGAAGAAAATAAGATTGCGAATGGTTTTGTGTTGTTATGTAATCTACTTTGTAAAATAAACAAACTTCGTATCAATCACTCAGGTAAGTGCACTGAAGTGTGACTAATCTCCCCAATCAAGCCGTTGTGTATAGACAAGGGACAGTGCATGAACCACAGGTGTAGATAGGTGTTATCTTTTGTTTTGTTGATTGTCCCAAGAGTGAAAAGGTGTGAAAAAAATATTACGGACGATAATTTTCTATTGTAGTAAGCGAAGTGTAAACTTTTACCTATGATAATAACAGACAAAATTTATAATGAATTATTAAGAAATGGTTTTGTGTTTCAAATATCTATGATAAAAAAAGAAGTATGATATAAAACCGGTATGATAAAAAACGACTTGTACTGTATTTATATAGAAACATCCTCAGGTAGTTTAGATTTAAGTTAGTTCAAAACATGATCCCCGGGGGTAGGGGTGGTGCCATAACAGAAGATGAAGCTTATGGGGAAAAAATCTTTTAAAATCTTCTAAATCCATGATTAGTCAAAGAAATATGGAAGCACCATCAGTTAGGTGTAGATTTAAGTTCGTTCAAATTAATCCCCTCCCTTGAAAAGGGGGGGGGGAGGTTGGGGCCACTTATGTATTTAAACTTCTCAATATTGAACTGAATTCTGCTTTTTCCTAGCCAAAGTGCTCAGGTGAGCGATGTGGCCCATGGACCTCTTGTCTTTGATTTTTCCCTTTACCTCTATCTTTTTGTTACAAAGTGTCATAGACTGCGGTTTAGCTGAGCAGTTGAGATGTCATAGCTTAGGGAATTTGAAATTGAAAAATATTGTAAACATGGATTTCAACACATATTTGGAGAAACTTTGGCAGTTTTAGTCTCTGTCAGGATAGTTTATTTACTCTCTCTATCTTATAACAGGTCAGGGAGTTTTTTTTTTACACTCTTTGTGAATTAAGGGAAGGAAATGGAGACTTTTGCCACACTTCTGATACTCTTTCAAACTGTGACAAATATCAATTTTTATTCAGCAAATAAATTACAGTATTTCACTGTTGAAAATGTAATAAATACTTGTACTACATTTGTAGATGTACATTTGCAGTACATAATTGACATGTTTTTTTAAAAATGACTATAACCAAACAATCAAGAAAAAAGCTATTAATCGAATTTTGTAATTTCAAAATGAAGGCACAGTAACTGTTTTCTTTTATTTAAATAAAATAAGCTTAAAAGATGTATGTTTTGTGAGAATGGTAAGTAATAATATTCTTTATTTTCTTTCCCCAGAACACAGAAACTAGATGAATAGAAGCAGTTGTTACCAGATACAAGAAATCAGTGCGGTAAACATTTCTCCATTGTTTTATATTACTGTGTCACAACACACTGTAGATCATACCTATTTATATGTGGCACATCATCACAAAAATCTACATTAACATACTGCACAGTCTTGTAACTTTATAAAGAAAACATGGTTTATCCTGTTGAAGTATGCTGTGTAAATTATAAAGTTGATACATTCTACTGGAAATAGCTGATGTTTAATATTTCAAATGAATTCATATTATACATGTAACCTATAAGAATTCAAAACCATCAGTTTTCAAAAATGTTTTAATCTATTAATATTGATTATTTTTTGTCAGACTTATGGTGAATAGTTGGACCCTGCTAGACAGAAACTTATAAAGGATCCAGTACTCAGTGTAAAGGTATTTATGTGTATCTGTGTCTTAATTTAATTTAATTCTTTATGTTATTAAAACTAAGACATTGTTATATGCCTACATTATGAACAGAGACCTATTATTGATGAAGATAATTCTAGTACAATGTTGTAATTTACAGAGAAATCTCCCTGACTGAGGAAATCAACACGGGATTCTGTTATAAAACCACAGGATAAAGATGAAATAAATGTCTGCTGTCAATGATGTATAGATTTGTGTTACAGAAATCTGTCACAGTGACAGGTGTTAGTGAGTGTAATCACATCTCCCGTGTATCCTCAGACCGGGTCTGGATCAGTGATTACTATAACAATCTCATCTTGACAAACACAGCAGGTGATAAACTACATCATCTGACAGATATACGTAGTGGTTATAGTGGAGGACACACTGTGAACAATGACGGTGATTTAATTTATATAGACAGTCATGGTAACATCAACAAACTGTCTACAGAGAACACAGTAAAGACTACATTAATAAAGTACACAGCGCCATGGAGACCACGGTGTGTCTACAGCTCCCCCTCCACTGGAGACCTGCTGGTCGCGATGTTTAATACTGATACACGTAGAGAAGGCAAGGTAGTGCGGTATAACTCCACAGGAGAACACATCCAGACCATACAGTACAACAACAACACAGGTCAGAGACTGTATAGTAGACCTGACTACATCACAGAGAACCGCAATGGAGATGTTATTGTGTCTGACTTTGGCCGTGATGCTGTAGTGGTGACAGATCGTGGTGGAAGTCATCGCTTCTCCTACAGACGACATCCATCAGGATCAATACTAGTACCACTAGGAATCTGTACTGACGCGCTGTCACACATCCTGGTGTGTGATTATTACACCAAGTCAGTACAGATGTTAGACAGGGACAGTAACTTCCTGACACAGATACAGACATCACCACACGGGATAGACGAACCATGGGGCCTGAGTTATGATGATACCACACAACTACTGTGGGTAGGGTCACGGTACAACAACACAGTCAACATATACAGAGTGGTAGATGGAGATTCTCTGATTGGTAAATATGTATTATTATAGTATGTTTTGTGTTTTGTTTCACAATATCACATGTCTACAATATGATAAAAAATTGTTAATTAATTATTGGGGTAGTCTGTTGAATATTTCACATAGTGAATTATTTTAACTGTAAATAAAAGCTGTTAATAACTGTAGTCATTTTTTAAGTTCATACAATTTATTAATGAATAGGTATAGTCATTGTTTTTTTAAAATATAAATATATTACATTTAATTAGTTACAATTTCTTGTATGATATATAAGAATGACTTTAAAAGATTAAGATTAGTCCTAGCATACATGAATTTTAAATGCTTCGTGATTGTTTTGAGAAGATGCTATCAATTAATTAGGCTTGTTTTGTATCCATCATGTTCAACTTAATCGGTCTAGGAACACTTTGAGAGACTGTGTATTTGATACAAGTCTATCAGTAAAAAATAAAAATCACACTTGATACAGATTCTGTATATTTAAACATGTGTATATAAAGTGCTACTCTGACTGGATATATAATATTTTTCGTTGGATAAATCTGTTCTAAGATGATGATGTTTAAATTGAAATGTTAAACCTTTGTGTAAATAAAATACTTAGTCTTGTGATTAATAAGTAATTTATTTCACTGAATATTTGGTTTAGAAATGCTTTAAGCCTGACACCCTGTGGCAGTTAGACCAAACTTGACATAACATGTACAGATTGTGTGCTTTGTGTATGATATATAGAGTTCTACTATGACTGCTTTATGATTATCACTCAGTTTGTTGTCTTCTCTTTGGTGTGAATTGACATTAAATCACAGTAGGTTAACTTTATACAGCTAGGTTACAACTTAAGTAAGTAATAGAAACTAGGGGTTACAGTGGGTTAACTTTATACAGGTTACAACTAAAGTAAGAAATAGAAGCTGGCCTAGCTCGGGGGGGGGGGGGGGGGGGGGGGTTTACAGTGGGTTAACTTTTTACACGTTACAGCTAAAAGTAAGTAATAGAAGCTGGGGGTTACAGTGGGTTACAACTTAAGTAAGTAATAGAAGCTGGGGGTTACAGTAGGTTACAACTAAAGTAAGCAATAAAAGCTGGGGGTTACAGTGGGTTAACTTTATACAGGTGACAACTAAAGTAAGAAAAATAGAAGCTACGTAATGGATATATGCCGAATACTGTTCTATATGTAAAATTATCAGACTGTTTGAGGCCCGTTAGGGCCGAAAACAGTCTGATAATTTTACATATAGAACAGTATTCGGCATATATCTTACTTAAAACATTGCTATTTAAATGTCCAAAAGTTACCTGGAGGAGTCCGATAATTACACAATAGAAGTTCAGGCATCGATAGTTTTCTACCTGAAACCATCTAATAAGTAGACAAAAGAAAAGAGAAAGTTTTTTTTTTCTTTAGACAGTAAAATCAGTGAGTGAACTCTTTTGTTTCATTCATTCAATGGCAGTCGTTTGGCTTAGCAGGAACTATGGACAGTGGTCAATTGATGAAGGATTTTTTTTTATGATTTGGAATATTCTTTTTTATTAAGTGCGTTTGACATTGATACAGACACAGTGTTGGATGATATCTTCAAAATGCATTTAAAGTAAAAATGCGGATTTTTATCTAAATTTTTGATTGGATCTTGGGTTTTAAAAGTGCGGTCATTGGCGAACAAACCTCGTTAAATGAAGAGATTCGCAGACTGGTTCTTTATCAGAAATGGATTTAAATTGGCTTTTTCACAGTGCTGTATCGAAAATGCTTTGCAAAAAACCGAATGGAAAGTGTTACTTTTGAGGAAGGTTAAAACTCCAGTTTCTTCTTGGATTTGCTATTTTTAACAACTTTATTAATAATTTCCTCGCATTTGCTTTCCCTGACTTTTTTCTTCCTAACTTTTTTTTTTGGTTTCTGGACAAATTAAACCTTGATTTCATTCTAGTTGTTGTTTTTTAACTACTGTCCGATTTTGTTATCACTGCCGTCCGATAATATATTATTGGACTGCTAATTATTATTATCGGACGGCTACAGGTAAATTTTTAGACTGCAAGAACAAAGGCATGACGTCACAGCAATGTTTTAACTGGGGTTATATACTGTTGTGAAGTGGGGTGGTGTAGGATATGATGAATGGAAAATTCAATGACTTCAATACTCTGCAGAACAGAAAGAATTTTGTACTGGTGTTGACAGTTGATAGTTAATGTAATATTGATATTAACATTAAAGCTCTGTCTAGGAATGTTGTGTATTTCTGTAGCAGGTGTTCAGTAAATCTACACTGTGTACTGGGTTGACATTCTTCATGTATATTACATATAGTGTTTGTGTTTGAGAAGTGGTTGTATATTACCCATAATGTATCATCTTCATGAAATGTCTGTGCATTAGTGTTCCAAATATTGCTTAATCTGAATACAGGAGTTTACAGGTTTGGTCTGATCAAAGACAAATAAAAAAGACACATGGTTATTTTCTGGAATGCCCTGTTCACATGGACAGTTTAATTTGAATTAAATATATTAAGTTCTATGAATTAAATTTGAACTGTGTTTCAGACAGACTAACCTAAATTACTGCGAATTAAATTTGAACTGTGTTCACAGTGACAGTTTAATGCCAATTTGTTTAATTTGAATCAGTTTTAACTGCACATTAAAATACTTCGCTCAAATGCCATGTAAATTTTGATGTGTCACATATGCAACACGTCAGTTCTCAGACATGTCAGATAGAGGTGCTTTTGCTGTTTTTGAGTAAAAAACAAAGAAAATTTATGTTAATCACCAAAAATGTATACAGAGTATATAGACACTGTGACATTATATCAGATGTATTATGTCTGGTCTGACATGTGCTAGGTGATGTGATTTGAAATTGACGTCATAATAACCTAAATATTTGTTATAAAATTTTAATGCACATTATAGTTTACGTTGCATTAGCTGTCATGTGAATGCTATTTGATTCGAATTATATTAATTTGTATTATTTTACTTCATTAATTTACTGCGAATCAAAAATTTTATGTGCATTTTAAAAAGATTCTTTAATGCCGTTTTTGATGACAGTACAATGGTTATTATAAGCCACATGAGAAGTACAATTTTCACCAAGCCTAAAGAACTGTTGTTTGATTTTGTGACTTTGAGCAAACCTTAACCATGATATCTTTCTTAATTGTTTACATGTATTGAAGTCCTAGCCAAATGCAGTGAGAAAAGCAGGGTTAAAAAAAATAAACATACCCAGTTTATTTCCATATTAATTTGAAATTTTTTAATCTGTTTTTGATGCAGTGCAGAAGAAACATCAGTCAGGTAGCATCTATATTGAAGGGGAAAGGGGGGGGGGGTTAAGGAAAAAATTGGCAACTCCTTGACAAGCCAAAATTAAAAAAAAGAGAATTCTTGTGAATCCAAAATCTTATTTCATGTGTGTGTGGGTGAGATAAATATGGTCCATGAACATAGGAGGGATTTAACTATACTTTAATTGAAAAATTTGGGGGGACAAGGTTTGAATGAACATTTTCATACTCAATAATAAATATTAATGTTCTAAAAAATTGGGAGCCCCCCCCCCCCATTACGTGCCTAAATTCTATGTTCCCATGAGTGGAAGTCTGGTGCAGATGAAGTACCTTTCCATAACTAATTGTATCAGTTTAGAAATTATCAATTTATTTTTTAGTCCAATGTAGAAAAAAAAAATTTTATGTTCACCTGATAGGTCACATGCAAGTGAACAATATTTAAATATTTTTTCTACAGTGTTAGCTGGTACGTTGATCATTTCCATCAGCAAATTAGAGAGCAAGGAATTGTTCAATCATATAATAAAAAGGCTCATTTAAGACACACTATAATCCTTCTTATTAATTTAGCATGAGAATATTGCCCCTTTTGTTGGCTAGATACAGATTTGATCAAGGTTCAGATTTATTTATACATTGGGGAAGATAACTTATTTACACTATATTATAGAAAATTGTAATATAATTACAGTTTTCTTGTAATGGACTGCACTGTTAATAAATTAATGATTTTTTCCTTGTATGATGTTAATAAGAGAGATAAAAGCTTAAACAGATTATATATATATATCTTGTATATATTATGTTTTTTTTTTGTCAATAGGCCTCCCTCTGGAGAACCTGGAGTGTAAGAAACATCCCAGGGTTCCATTATCCCAGTTCTGTATCCCGTGTGAGGTTACCTTGTGTGAGAAATGTACCACAACCTCTAGGGATCATGAAGGACATGATGTTAGAGATGTAGAGAAAATGTTTAGAGAAATTCACAAGAGAAAAGGTTTGTAACAATGCATGAATTTTACTTTTGAAAACAGTTGACAAAAATTCTTTAGAAATATGAGATACAGCATGTAAATAAACCTTTCATAAAGTGCCAGATTTACAGATCTCATGACCTCTCACTGACCTTTATTGACCTATACAGTGCTTTCAGTAATCCCATTTTGCATCAATCTTTATCAATCATAAAAGGTTTTGATATTACTTCTTACTGATTAATTTACCAACACATTTTTGGAGAAAGGATATCAAAATTGTAAGATTAGTTAATGAAAAATATTCAGTTTTTGTTGAGGATGACCTATTTACTAAAATCACAATAATTAAAACTAGATAAGTTTTAGTAAGTATGACCTTCACCATTCAGTTTGTAAAAGAAAAACATTTATCCCTGTTAAGTATACTGTATAGAGAATCTGTTGAGTTTCTGACTAAATCAGACATTCCCTTGGAGTATAAACCCAAGCAATAAAAATACTGAGTATCAATTTTTAGCTCACCTGAGCCGAAGACTCAAGTGAGCTTTTCTGAATAAAATTTGTCCGTTGTCTGTCATTGTCATCGTTATTGTCGTTGTCTTAAACTTTTCACATTTTCATCTTCTTCTCCAGAACCACTGGGCCAATTTCAACCAAACTTGATCAATTTGAAACCGCTTTCTTTAATGAAACCGCTGAACCAATTTAATCCAATATTGGCCTATAGCATCTATGGGTGAAGTGGAACAAAAATTGTGAATTTCATGGTCCCCATCCCTGGGTCCTTAGGGTTCGGGCTAAAACCACCATTATTAATGCAATCTATAAAAATCTTCTTCTTTATTCTTGGACATCGAGCAGTCAGACTGTTGGCATGATAGTAATAAGCATCGATCCCTCTACCAAAATTGTGAAATTCATGGCCCTAGGGTCAGGGGTTCTGGTGCTAGGGTGGGGCTATATAGATCATATAGTGAAAGTGCATTATTTCTTTGAAAATCTTCTTCTCTGCTCCTGGGTATTAAATAAACTAAGTATATAGTTCTGATGTGCAAGGCTGCCTCCTCAGAAATTATGAATTTCATGGCCCCTGGGTCAGGGGTTCTGGTGTTAGGGGGGGGGGGACTCTATTGTTTATGTAGTGAACAGTCAGGGGCATGATGGAATAAAGTTATTTTTTAAAATAACTTTTTTAGGTAACTTCACTTATTTAGTACTAAACAAAGAAATAACTCATCTGAGTTAATTCTCAAAACATAGAATGCCTATCAATTTTGCCAAAAAACATCAATATTTTGAGTTTGCTGCTGATTTAAGATGATGTAAGGTTGAGAAAGTTGTAAATATATGTACTTCTTTTAATAGACTCAACAGATTTCATATCTCCTGAGCAGATAGGATGATATTTATCAAAATATCATGATATTTTTCTGGGAAAAATAACTCCATTTCATGAACATTTCAGAGGTCAATTTTACAACTTCCGCCAATTTTGCCAACAGTGAGACTAATTTTCCTAAAACCCTTGGATATATTACTGTATAATATCTATGTCTTATATATTTTGTGCAAGAGTTCTAAAGTGAGGTTGGTTAAGGTTGAAATAACTGAAATAAGTTATGATTTGTTGAATTTCAACTTGTTAAATCTTAAAGATAGATTACTTTTACTGTCATGAGCCTTTTCCATCTACTTAATAACCCAAGTACAGCATGAATAAAGCTTTTCAGATACCAGTAGGTTTAAAATAATGAATAGTAAAATATCAATAACTAGAATAAGCTACTGAAGAAAAGCATAATCAGGGAAAGATAACCCAAAATAATGACATTTAATAACTGAAACAAATTAATTTAAAAATAACTTGTTTCCACGATGCCCTTGACTGGTGAAAATAAATTAATTTCTTGAAAATCTTCCTGTCTGCTCCTGGGTATAACAAAGGAAGTGCATTGTTACAGTGCACTTTGAAAAATTACGCACTTTGAAAAATATTTTCAAAGTGCGTTAATTTTGGGACCACGTTAACGCACTTTGAAAAAATTTACTTTTTTTTCAAAGTGCGTTAATATCGACCATATTAACGCACTTTGAAAAAAAAATGTGCACGGCTTGGTCAATACTCTTGCAAATTTTAGGTTGTTAATTTTAGGGGTTGTTTTCTTCCCGACAATTCTCGTAAATGTTATACTTTTAGAAATGATTGCATAATTTCGTTCTTTTTTATTTAATCCATTCTGTAATAAGTTCAGTGGATGAAGGGGTCGATATGTAACTTAAAGCATGACATTTTTCTTTGCCAATGGGAAAAAGGAGCAATTATGATTTTTCTCTTCCATAAAAATTCTCTCTTTCTTTCTTTCTTTCTCTCTCTCTCTCTCTCTCTCATATTCAATATGAACATACGCTAGACTGATTAATTTGATAGTAATAAAATAAAACATTAGCCCCAATACTCATTCGACTGGAACTCTTGAATTTTTGATATCATAATAAGGCTAGATATAATTATATCAAGTTAAAAAAAATTCTAAGATTCTGGTATATAATATTTGCCCTGTCTGTCTGTCTGTCTGTCTGGCTGTTTGTCTGTTTGTCCGCAAAAAACTTTAACCTTGTCCATAACTTTTGATTGGGCGGAGCTTTGACTTTCATGTCCCACGTGCGTTTTTCTTGTGACCTTTCTTTGGGTAACAACATATTTGAACTTTTAACTTTGACCTAGGAGTTTGACCTAATTTGATTTTCCTGAAAATGAACATAAAAAAATTGCTCCACAATTGTTTCAGGCTAATTAATGAATTGGTCTCTTCAGTTTTTTTGATTAAAACAAATCCACCATCAGTGCTGCAAAGTGTATGACATTGAACTTGCATCATGTACTGATTTGTCCTGCTGTCCCGTCATAATATGCCACATAAAATACATTTATTCCAATATTTTTTTTTGTTTTGTTTTGGCCGTTGCAATTATCAGTATGAATTGTACATGTAAGTTCTGTATTCATAAAACGACTAGTTCAAATAATGGAATCTGGCCCATGAGTATTTGTACCTTCACACACTATAGTTTCATGTTAAGAAATTTAAAAAAAAAAAGGGGGGGGTATCGTCTATTCAGAAACCAAAGATCTGGATTTTGCAGAGTCTCGATTATAGAGAGGCCCCATTTGGAGAGCATAGCAAGGTATAACTCGATGGAAGCGGAAAGTCAGTTCTTGTGATGTCACTGTAGAATACTACATGGTGTCCGAGAGAAGTTTTAAGCGTTGAAACTGCCAAGCCTCTGTAAATAAACCAGAACTCTATTTAAATGATGTTTGCCGAGTTAATAATTAACTAACACGCATAAATTTAACTTGCTATATATATTTTTGAATATGTTATTTTAAAAGTGTAATGAAATAAGATTAAAGTAGACTTAACATGTTGTGCACAGGCTCTAGGAGGCACTTTTAGTTGAAAGGGGAGGGGGGGGGGATCAGCTTAACAGAAAAAAAGTTAACAAACTAAACCAAAAAAAGTCACATTACTTTTGAGGTGCACATCTGTAACTTAACTTTATATTCTATTGTAAAGTATTTACCAGCAAAGTTTTTTGGGGTAAAACTTTTAATAAGCTTTGTTTTCTATTGTGAAGTATATAGAGGTAAATTACTGCACCCTCCCCTTCTCCGGTTTCTATGGTACTGATATCTTACAATGCAATTTTAGGTCAAATCTCTCCATGAGCGAAGTTGTGTAAAATTAAATCAAATACATGTAATGTGTGCAATTATAAGAAATACTTATTTCAATAAAATCACAAACTAAATAATGTACTTCCACAGACACCTCAAGAGTAAATAAATTACATGTACTTATCGTCAACCCCCCTCCCCCTTCTTTTCGGATGGTGTTTAAGTTGAGTTACTTTTCAGGATATGTTCTATTAGAATCAAATCAACCATCTTTGAGACACTTACAATTTTTTGTGTGAATATCTTTGTTTTTGAATTCTTGATAAAAGTACAGAATAATAAGAATGACAGATTTGACGGAGAATGTTTTTAAAAATATAGGATCGTTACATTTTGATTATATTAATACGGGGATAGGGTCAGTCCATCTTTGCTAGCTAATGATCTTGGCTAGCGGAGATAGGGGTAAGTCATGAAGTTGAGTATGCTATCCACATTTCATCCAAATTCAGATGCCTGTGACATATCAGTATCCTACTCTCTCTATCCCTCTTTTGGCTTTACACCATTATGTATCGGAATCAAGCCAGGATCCAGGATTTTTTTCCAGAGGGGAGGGGATTCCACACCAGTAAAAAAAGTCATAACCATAAAGTTTTTTTTGTTGTTGTTGACGAGCAAAAAGAAGCAAACAAAAACGTACACCCCTTTCAAACGTGAAAAACTTATTTCGTAAAGGTGGTGGATCAGAGGTGGGAATGTAGAGGTAGAACCACTTTCCTTCACTTCTTATACTTCAAAAGTATTATTCCTCGCTCCTTCAATCTTAAAAAGTGTCCTTTTTTCCCGGAGAGGAAGAGGGTCCGAGGTCATTTTTTATTTTTTCGCTACTTTACTATCTACATTAGATTACTAACTCCACATTTTTTTTTGGGGGGGGGGGGGGGGGTGGTGCCGGTTCCGGGAATGGGAATAACACATTATATGTAAAGATATATTTGATATTAATTAGATAAAAATATTATTCTTTCAGTGAAATAATCGGGAATTTTATATACATCATAAAATCCAGAAGCAACGCCGGCGTTAAAACAAAAGTACCGGGGGGGGGGGGGGGGGGGGCACGGAGGGCCGTGCCCCCCAATAATTTTGCCGATATATAGAGGACTATAGAAAACATAATTTTATATACTATATGCTTGTGCCCCCTCAATAAAAACGTCTGATGACCATTTTTTTTTCTTCTTTTTTTTTTTTTTGCTTGTTAATTAATTTTTGGTAGTTGATAGTGCCCCCTCAACTGAAAGTATATGGCTGTGCCCCCCAAACTGAAATTGCTTCCTACGGGCCTGATTAACGTGGAACTTGCTTTTAAAGTATGCTGATTTGCAAACCTGGAACTTGCTTTTAAAGTATGTGCTGATTTGTGAATATTTAAATAAAATGTGTGTATTAATACAATGGAAAAAATCTTAACACGAACTGCTGTTTTATACAATACATGAAAAAATATCGGAAACGAAATGAATTTCGATCCGCCAACAAACAAATGCTGCATAGAACAGGTTGATGTATGTTGCGTGAACGCACAAAGATTAAAAAATAATCAAACTAATCTAATATTGTCAATTTTCATGTATATGCAAACTTTCAAAGAACAAACATTATACTTACTAATAATTCATCGTCCATTCTTCTGTCTGTGGTTATCCATTCTATGCCTTCACTCGCTATACTTTGAGGTCTGGCTTTAGTGACGTAATGTAAATAAAGATGGCTTTTGTGATGTTTGGTGGATCATAATACTTTACATTCACAGAGGCGGGTTTACGTATAAATAGAAATTTATGACACATTATTTGTTTCAGTGTGGGGTTTTAATTATTCATTTTACTAGGATATTAAAACTAGCGAAAATAACTGAAGAAAAGTTTAATAAAGATATTTGTATATTGTGAACATTCAACAGCTGTTCAACTTTGTCAGCGAAATACATGCGTATGTAGGATTCACAAAGGTATAACAGTAAATACAAAGTAATATATTAGAATATCCCTCAGTGGTAACTTGAGAAAATATTTTTAAAATGGTAAAGAAACGTATTTTACACATGATACGACGATCATAATACACATTCATTATACTTTCACTCTGAAAATAAAACTGAACAACGGAAAGTGAAAAGGGAGAAAAAAGGAACATGTGCATTTTAGACGTGAAAATTTGATGTCACAATAAACACGTTTTTCTCAACGTCAACGCTTATGTCATTAAGCCCGGTTTTGTCAGAGAGCGGTCCATATATATCTGGGTAGGAATGATAAAGAGTTGAGCTGAGGGACCTTCAACCTGTCTTTTCTTCGTTGTCAATGAGGGTTGATCAATTCATCAGTTTTTAGAAAGAAATACAACAAAACAAGGGCACCGCAAAGCGGAGCATTCCTTCCAAAAAAAGCATATTCTATAACTGAAGGCAGCATTTGACATCAATTCCGATGCAAATTGCGTCACTTCCGTTTCGCACAGGAAAAACTAACACACACACTAACACACAATCGCGTTACTATGTCCCCTCAAATGTTGCGAGGGGATAATAATGTTGTCTATTACTAAAATTTTTGCTTTATACATATTTTTTCAAAGTGCGTTAAGTGAGTACATGGTTAAAAATTATGATGAACACTCTTAATGCACTTTGAAAAAAAATTTCAAAGTGCGTTGATTTTGTCTTTTGATTATATAGTGAAAATGCATAATTTCTTTCAAAATATTTGTTTCTACTGCTGGTTATAAAGCAAAGAAACAAGTGTATAGTTATGATGAGCAAGGGTACTTCTTCCAGAATTGTGAGTTTCATGGCCCCTGAGTCAGATGTTCTAGTGTAAGGGTGGGGCTTTATTAATAATATAGTGGAAATGCATTAATTCTTTGAATATCTTCTTCTCTGCTCCTGGGTTTTGAGCAGATAAACAAAGTGCATAGTTATGATGAACAAAGCTGCTTCTTAAATTTTTTTTAAAACTTATGGTCCCAAGGGTACTGGTGTTTCTCGTGGGAAAGGGGGGGGGGGGGGGCTCTATTGATAATATAGTGAAAATGTGTGAATTCTTTGAAAATTTCAACTAATTGCATATTTATGATGATGATGAGGGTACCTCTTCCAAATCTGTAAATTTCATGACCAGGTGTTTGGGTAGGGCTGTATTAAATCTGTAGTGAAAATGCATTATTTCTTTGAAAATCTTCTCTGCTCCAGGGCAAATCAGAGGCAAACAGAGTAAAAGTTTCAATAAGCAAGGGTATCTTTTTACCCGAAATTGAACATCTGGACCATTTGATCAATTGTTCTGATCCTGCCCAGGCTCTATTAATTTGTATTCTACTGAGCGAAGTTATTCCCAATCACCTTTGATAATTAATCACTGTAAATAATGTATTTGAAAGGTTAATAGAATAAGAGAATTATTGTATAATACAAAAAGTACTCTCATTGTTTTAATGATCAGGTAGACTTGGAAAAAATAGGTGAATAAAAATGAGAGAAAAATAACTTATCTTTTTAAATGTTCTTCAAAGGCCAAGAGAAGCCAATGTCTTAGGTAATAATATGGGTTTAAAATAGATATTTTGTTACTAGTCTGCATGGTAATAGTGATAAATGGGGGACAGATATTTAAGCAAAGTAGTGAAGACACACTAAAATCCATGGTTATATAGTGTGAAGAAATGATAACTTTTTTTAATTCTTTGGTGTATTTCATGGTATTTCACTGAGGAATTAAAATATACATTAAGGTTAACTGAAAAAAAATCAAATAAAATGTTTTAATTCAGACTTAATTTTTCACTTTCTTATTTCCGGAACCATAAACACTTTCTTTGGCTTGTTCGCCCATCTTCTTGAGAGCAGCGTGTACATCTAAGTCTCGGAGTATTTGTTTGGGCATGTATTGCTTCAGCTGTAGTCTCAGAATACTTAATATTGAAAAAGTTATCTTTTACATGTATTTTTTTTATTTGTAGATGGAGATGCAGTTTTGATGTGCCTTCTTCTCTGCCCTTCATACAAAATAAATCTGGAAGAAGAACACTGGATAAAGAAGTATAATGCTGTTGCTGAAGTTTTCAAATTCAACAAGATTAAGAAGCCGTCCAATCTTAGCAACTTAAAGTACAAACCAATACTCAGAGACGATGGTTCTGTACTCACATTTTCTTGTGAATTTTTCAAAAACTCCAGTTTTCTTAGATTTGCTAAAAATCCAGATTTTGTGGATATTTTTCTGACTTTGGCACAAAAAGACAACATCGCTGAGTACTGCAGGTCATGGGTTTATCCAAAGAAAGAGGAGGAAGTCTTTTGCTGGTTATCACCACAACAAACAAATCAATTGATTGAAAAACTTGGAGAGGATATTTTCAAACACCCAACATGGCAGGACACATCAATACATGAAGAAGTATTTAATAACCGTATGTCTTTCTTTTATTACCTTACCCTAAACAAAGATTGAGTAGATGATGTAAATGTATGTAAATTAGCACACTCAAAATTTAGCAAATAATTCTCATCAAATGAAAGGTGTAATCATAAATTGGCATATTTTGATCCAAACTTCTATTCAAGGATTTTTTTTGGTTTGATGTTAGTTTTTCGTGTGCAAATCACATAGACTTGCCACGTAGGCATATTTCATGAAGCACGCTAGCAAATAAATAGTGTCAATTATACCAGGATATAGCTATTCGATCATGTTCATTAGTTTATTTCTATATACATTCTATCTTGGTAAATAAATTCCACCCAGACACATAAATGATTTCTATACATGTTTCAATTCATTATATCACAGTAGGAAAAAAAATAGTTGAATGATTGAATATCAAAAATTCTAAAAACTCATCAAACACATTGCTAGTCTCTGTTTCATTTTTTTTTCAATTAAGAAAAATAATTTAAAAAAAAATATTACAAGTGTGCAGATGCACATGTTTGCCTTTGAAATTTAAAGTTCAAACTAATAGAGCAAAAATCTTGTGAGAGATTATTATGTTATTTTAGTTGGTGTACCAATGCAGATTTTAATGAGAGGGGAGGAGTCAGCCAAGAATTTCATTGAAAATCTTAAAAAAGGGGAGACGACTATGTACCATGCCTCTGGGATGATTATTGGGTGTGCGGGTAGTGGGAAGTCAACCCTGCTAGAAAGACTGAAAGGCACCAACCTGGAAGATATATTGAGAAATTTAACATCGACCAGAGGCATTGACGTGCAGTCTGACATTTTCGATGTAACAGAAAATACAATCAGAGGTACGTTGTGTTTTTGATTTTTACTGCACTTGATCTTATAACTGAGCTGGTATAGTTCACCAGATTTGTTGAAAAAGAATTACCGATGACGGTAGCCTAGTTGTATGGTTTTTGCTTCGTGATCGAGAGGTACCGGATTTCAATTTTCGGTCCGGGCTCGACATCGAACATAAGACATTAACAAAGGGATATAATGTTCCTTCGCCAAGCACCTGGCACAAGAAGCTAAAGTCTAATGTTTTTTGGCCAAAAACTCAAAAACCGAGGACCCATGTCACTGTAGGTGTTGGCACACTAAAGAACCCTCGCTGCTGAATAGCCCCAAGTGCCAAGAATAGGTCTAAATGTGTTGCTGTTCACCAGTATATGGTGAGGTCTCATATGAGTGAGAAATTCTTGCAAGAAACGGAAAGCAACAAATAGTCAATCAATCATTCAAAGAGTATTCTTAAAGTCCACATTTTTTGGGGGTCACATATTGTGTTGCCAGGCACACGGGGATCCTAGAAGTTTTGTCATAGAGATTCACCCCACTCAAAAAAAAAATCCAACCTAGAAATATACTGACAAGCGAAAAAAAGGAAAGTCCTCTGCCAAATTTGAAAAACACATTTGGGTGGTGTGTGTGTGTGTGTGTGCGGGGGAGGGGATGATCTGATGTTTTCACTTCTTAAACTTCATAAGTATGCATGTATGGGTCTGCATTTTCTAAGAGGTCCAAGGTTTATTTTTTTGTTACTTAAGTATGTAAATTTAATAACTCTGAAAATTCCTGGAGGGTTTCCATACCCCCCCCCCCCCCCCCCCCCCCCCCCCCCGCACACACACACACTTACACACCTCCCCCACCCCTTCTCTAGATTTGGGTGGGGAGAATTGAGCAATGCACAGTAGATTTAGGTATTTAAAAATCATACCCTCTTTCCATGTTTGAAACAAAGATTACAAAGTTCTTATACAGGTAACTCTTGATGGCTCGAACTTCGATCTCTCGAAGTTCTTGATCGCTCGAAGTGAGTCTCCGGTCCCGAATTTTTCCCCTATATAACTAAGCAAATTTACTCTTGATTTCTCGAACTCTTGATCTCTCGAAACCCTTGATCCCTCGAAGTCAAAATGCAGTCCCGCTATGCATATTCTATTAGAATTTACCCTCGATACCTCGAAGTGGCTATGTCTATACAAGGTTACATAATTAGGACCTTTACCTGGACATTTAAATGGCCCAAGGCAGAAGAAGCGGGTCCCGAGGAACGGGATATTTATTCAGGTGACACTTATGCTGCAAGGTGATAATTGACTTATAATTAATCCTATTTTGCCTATATGTTATTAAAACAATTATCATCGACTGTCTTACGATAATTTAGAGACGCAGTGTCAGTGAAAAGTAGTAATTGATTAAAAGACGAAACACTAATTTAATTTTTATTTCGAGTCAGTGTCAAAGGTAAAAGAAATATGAAAAAGCAGAAACAGCCTCAATGTCAATATGACGACTATTATTGGACAAATACTTACAGAACTGCATTCAATGATTATGTTTGGAATAGTCAATGCTATGTACGACGCTGTAAAATGTCGTTTTCATGTAACGAATGCGTAGTATGATGTCCGTATTACAAAGAATAAATATATATACATGAAATGACGATACACATTTTTTGCTTTACTCAGTTTAATGAAATATTCATCTAAATTACGAAAAAATATCGTTGTTTTATAAAAACCACGTGTAAAAGGTTAGCACTGCATGAAAATCATTACATCCGGTAAGACTAATTTTAAAGCCTGTCAACAAACCCGGAAAATTCCGGACTCTTGAAAACTCGAACTCTTGATCTCTCGAAGTTTTTCCTCAGTCCCGCGGACTTCGAGGTATCGAGAGTTACCTGTACTAATAGATACACCAGCTAAAGCTGAGGAATTGAAACAGCATGTTTCAACCCCCCCTCCCCCCCCCCCCCCCAAAAAAATAAATTTCATGATTTTATTCGTAAAAATTATATTTATTGTTATGCTTTTGTTTCTCTTGCAGTAAACTCATCCAACCAAAAACAACACTTTAAGGTTAAAATTGATGATACAAGTCTACATGTTAAGAACATTCCAGAAAATCCTATCTTATCTGGTGACCTGGAAAAACTGTCTAATAAACAGCCACTAGGGGATCAGAGAGATACTACCAGTAAAGTCGTTGATAAAGAATCGGTTAGTGATGGGGCAGTGTCACACGAGAACTTGAATATAGAAACTGACTCACTTAAAGGAAATGAAGCTGCTACGTTTGTAGAAAAAGAAGAGGATATGGTTGAAGAAAGTCAAAATGTTTTGAAGAACTCAGACGTTTTTGGATTTTTACGATTTTCCAAAGATGTTTCAGATGAGCCAGAAAAAAGAATCACCATGGTCGACTTTGCAGGGCAGTGTGCATATTATGCCTCACATCAGATTTTTCTGAGTCCAAGGGCATTCTATATTCTTGTTCTCAATATGGAGAAAGAGTTTGATGATCAGGTCGGAGAAGAAGTATGTTGCCAAAAAGGCTCTATTTATGAACGATGGTCACACAGAGGTTTGTTACTCTTACATGATATGGGTTTGATTGCCTAGTATCGAAAGCTTATTCAATGCAATATGTGATTTAGAAATCTACTTAATTCAAATACGCATTTAAAAAAAGGATTAAAGGACTCTTATATATATATATATATATATATATATATATATATATATATATATATATATATATATATATATTTTTAAAACTGTTGTTTAAAATATAGTTGCCTTTTTATTTAGTGAATTAATATTTAATGGTTAAAAGATTACTAGATGGGCTTATGTGATGGAAAAGTATCTCCATGTTTGTTTGTCCATATGTCTGGAAACATTTCTTTCGAAATGCTACTATTTTGAAAATTTTAATTTGAATAATACTTAGAATACAATTCAACTAAATTCAAAGACAATAATTTTGTGTATGTGATTTTTTAGCTCACCTCGACAAAGTCGAGATGAGCTTACAGTGGCTGCAATGTTATTGTTGAAAAAACCAATCGTGTAGAATCGTTCGTGTAACGTGCGTGATCGTTCGTGTAACGTGCGAGATCGTGCGTGTATCAGACTCAATCGTTTGCGGTTTTAATCGTGCGTGATCGTGCGTTAAGAAACATGTAAATTTCGTTTTGTAAGTTTTTATCGGAATGTTATTTGTTATACAAGCATTTCGCTTGTCTGATTTTTTTCAATTCAAATAAATGAATGAAACACGATTTACACAATTGAAAGCAGAACGAACTAATTATGGCTTGGAGATAAGCAATATAGTAAGTCGTACAATATTGTGTTCTCGTCAAATCCCGTGATTTTTTTGTGATAAACCGTACTGAGATGTTCAAAGATTTTTTATCTGATGATAATTACATGTATGTTTACTGCTAATTATGGTCAAGATATTTTTTAAAATTAATAGATCAAAAATAGATATTTTTATAAATAAATAAATACACAATTCTCAATGTTTACATAAATATTTAGTCGGCGAATGTATTGTACATGTACAAGAGATGAATGCAGGGGTTTCGTTCTCTGGAGCTTATTTTGAACTATTTTTATAATTTCTGCAAATAATGATTTGTAAATTAATTGCTGATTTTAGAGATTGACAAATGGAAACATGGATATAATTTGTAATTTAATTCATTTCATGCCATGTTTTTCAAACTTATCGCTTTCTGCATATTATGAAATCCAATTCAATCAAAACTCACGGTCCACCTACATGTACATTTTCTGACAGAACGAAAAAAATATCAGTTTTCTTAAGTCGGTGAATTACTTAAATAATTATTTGTTATCTAAAATGATTAATAAAGTCTTGCATGTATTTAGTTCCAGAAATATCCATTTCTATTTTTTTTTCATTTTTCAAAGTCGATGAAATAATATCAATAATTAATTGAAATCTATAATCAGTATTAAGCCTTATTTCATTTTGAAATATCTATTCCTAAAGAATTTGAACCATTTTGCCTGAAGAATCGTGCGTTTGCATTAGCAATCGTGTAAGATCGTGTAAGGTGTAGAATCGTGTGCGTGAGAATCGTTCCTGTAACAGGTTTTATCGTGCGTTAATCGTGCGGAATCGTTCGTGTAACGTGATCGTTCGTGTAAGTTGTCAACAATAACGTTGCAGCCACTGCTATACCCCCGGCGTCGGCGTTAGCGTCGGCGTCCTGGTTAATGGTTTAGGAGCAAGTCCATTCCCAAGTAACTATAAGCCCTACCTGGACCAAACTTGCATGGATGATGCATCTAGGAATGACACTACCATACTTGCTTCGGATGCTGGATCTGACCTAGATTTTCCAGATGAGTGACAAGGTTAAAATTTTAGGAGCTGGTCCATTCCCAAGTTACAATAAGCTCTACCTTGACCAAACTTGCATGGGTGATGCTTCTAGCGATGGACAATACCGTACTTGCTTCGGATGCTCGATCTGACCTAGATTTTCCAGATGAGTGACCAGGTTAAAGTTTTAGGAGCAGGTCCATACCCAAGTAACTATTAGCCCTACCTGGATCAAACTTGCATGGATGATGCATCTAGGGATGGACATTATCACACTTGCTTCGGATGCTGGATCTGACCTAGATTTTCCAGATGAGTGACCAGGTCAAAGTTTTTGGAGCAGGTCCATTCCCACGTAACTATAAGCCTTACCTTGACCAAACTTGCATGGATGATGCATTTAGGGATGTACGCTAACCAACCTGCTTCGGATGCTGGATTTGACCTAGATTTTCTACATGAGTGAATTTTAGCCATATTTTGACCAAATTACCATGGATGATGTAGCTAGGGATGGTCACTTCGAGACTTGCTTTGGATTCTGAATCTGACCTACATTTTCCAGATGAGTGACCAGGATAATCTTTTTGGAGTAGCTGTATAACATTATGGCCTGTTATGATTAAACTTGCATAAATAGTGCATCTAAGAATGAAAACTTCCAGACTTACTTTGGATGTTGCAACTGACCAAAATTTTCTTGATAAGTAAACAGGATAAACGTTATTTGAACAGGTATATTTCCAAGTAACTATAAATCGTACTTAAACCAAAATTGCATGGATATTTATCTTGGGATGTACACTAACTAAAAAAAATATATGATGTGAAATTTGCCTTACTTTAAGATAACATTGGTCGAGGTGAGCTTTGTAATCTTTGATTACCTATGTTTTTTGTTTAGACACTTTGTCCTACATGATTATAATAAAGTAAAGGATATATTACATATATCCAAGATCTGGAGCAAGATGGTTTTTTATCGTAGCTTTTTGTACATTTCATTATTTATAGATTAGAGTAGTTTGTCGCATGGTTTAATTTTAGTACATTTATATTGTGGGGGGGGGGGGGATCATTTTATCATAACCATCAGGCTCGATGAAGAATCCTCACTGCTAAATGGCCCATTTCCTAGTATATGTCTTAATTTGAAGCCCTTCACTAGTATATCGTTACGTCTCCATATGATTGAAAAATTCTCAAATGGAACGTAAAACAACATAAAATCAATCAATCAATACAACCTTACAGAAGTAAATAAGACATACACAAAGTAATAAGCAAATTACTCAGTTTTGTCTTTATTTTATTCAGATTATCTTGAATTCTGGATGAAATCCATTCACCAGTACAGCACCGATAAGGCCCCAGTCCTCCTCATTGGTACACATAGTGAGGGAAAAACAGAAGAGGTATTTTTTCTTCATTTCTAAAAAAAATTAACTCTATTGGTCAGATACCAGATGATCTGATGTGATAGGAAGATGTCCGTCGTCTGTCTGTAAACAATTTTTCACAATGCTAGTCCTCCTACAGTTTTGGTGTGATTTCAATATAACTTGGCACACAATTAGACTACACTAAGATACATATTTCTGTTTATCAGTTGCTGATTTCGATGAACAGTGTTGCCATGGTTACTAAAAATAGAAATTTTTGTGAAATACCTAAAACACTCCTCCTCCTCCTACAGGTTTGATCTGAGTTTAATATTACTTGGCACACAAGTGGAGTGCACTAAGATGCATAATTCTCTTTATCCTTTTTGAGTGGGCTCGCAGAGCGACTCATTGGTATCACAGCTGTAAGTGTAAAAATTATCATCCATTCATCTAGGTGAATCATACACCAAATAAGATAGTTCTAGCAAAAAAAAACTTTTGTTTGAGTGATTGCTTAAACTTAAGAGGTATAAACAGTATAAAATTTCATATTGGAACATTATTTATGTATGTCTTCAGTTTTTTTTACAGAAAAAATCGATTAAATATCTGTACAATGCAAGTACAAATACTGCGTATGAATATACTAGTATGTGCAAGCATGGTAGGCGGATCTAATCTTCCCATCTGAAGTTTATTTATCATTGACCTAGAATACTTCCTAACACACACACCTGCTGTTCTCATTCACTGCAGCTAGTGTGCCTGAAAAATCTATTTTTAGAATCCAGGTTTGTAGTGTGAATCATTGACCTAATTACTTTATAACACAGACCACTGCAGCTAGTGTGCTTAATTTATTTTTAGAATCCAGGTTTGCAGTGCTGCTTTCCACAATGGTATATTAAATTATTATATGTTACTTAACATAAACATAATCATGCTTAATTAAAGTAAAATTGTGTGAATGCTTTATAGTTAGGCGGATCTTGAAAAAATTTTCCCATAGATATCTAATGTTTGTTTTCCATTACTGGAGGTTGTTTTTTAAGTGATTTATCTTACGTTTAAATGTTAATTTTTTTACATGATACTTTTTCTCCCTTTTTAACATGATTTTCCCTTTTCCCTTGTTTTTATTTCACTTTCACTTTATTGTATTTTTTTTCTTAATAGAACACTGATCTAGTAAGAATTTATGATAATTATAATTAAAAAATACTTAAGAGAAGTTTTTAAAGAACTCATTTGACTTAAAAAGGTGGGAGATATTAAAACCCTTAACCTTTATTTACTTTGGGGGAGGGGGGGGGGTAAATTGAGACCCGTTCAAATTTAAACAGTTGTATTTGGATTCCTATTCAAAAAGTTGTTATTTTTGTCACATTATGTAATCTTATTTGTGTATTTACAAACCCAAACTTTAAATAAATTTAAAAAATCTCATGTGAGATGGGATTGAAGCCCTCAATTTTTTAACCAATCATGGAGACCTGACATTCAATTTCTTAAGATGCAATAAAAACTGAATATAAGGCATGGTGACATTTTGTATGAAAAAGCTCAATAAACTCAAGCGAGTCGACTCTCAGGCCCTTCAGGCCTTTGATTTTATTTCGATAAGTGAAAATGCCATGGTTACTAAAAATAGAGATTTCTGTAAAATTTATTAGAAAAGCTTTTCCTACAGTTTTAGTCTGATCATGCTGATTGCAATAAATCTTGCCACAAAAAGAGACTAAACCAAGAATCATTATTCCATTTATTGCTGTTCAAAGTTTCAAGTCTAAGTGCTGCTTTTCTCTTCCTTTGTGAAAACTGCAAACCAGTAGAGCTACAGTCCCGTCAAAGACTATTGGTTTTATACTAAGTGTATTGTTGGGATAAAACCTCACAGGTGACATATAAAGTTAAGATACAAGAATTCTGTGAGCTAATGCTCACTAGTAATACTCCCGCTCTGATGTGAATGTACTCTCCTATGAATCCCACCATATGGCATGCCTAAACAAAGAGTGTGCTAAAATTTCAAGCATCTGCCTTGAATGGTTGCTTCCTGTTTATCTATTCGTCTGTCCATACAAAATTTCCGTACTCACAGTTTTCTCAGCATCTGCCTTGAATAGTTGCTGAGAAAACTCATACTGTGACGGTAATTTTGTACGAACAAATGAATGGATAAACAGGAAGTTGACATCGGATTCATAAAAATGAATTCCACCATATGACATGCCTAAACAAAGGGTGTGCTAAAATTTTAAGCACCTGCAATGAATAGTTGCTGAGAAAACTGTGACGAAAATTTGGTACGGACAGACGCACGGAAAAACAGGAAGTTGACATCGGATTTGTACAGAAATAAATCCCACTATATGGCATGCCTAGGCAAAGAGTGTGCTAAAATTTCAAGCAACAACATTGAGCAGTTGCTGAGAAAACTGTGACGAAAAGTTGTTGCTGACAGACACACAGTGTTATTCTGAACTTATCTATCATAGGGGGCTGAACACTGACTTAAAATTAATATTTTCTCAAATTTTCTCTAAAATATCATGACTTACGTGTCACTATAGCATTTCACAAGGAAATGTAATAAAAGCTTGTTCAGAAAGTTCTTTTATCTGGAAATTATTGAAACTACAAATTTTGGGACGCATTTGATTGACATATTCTTGCACTGTTTACAAAAAACAGATGTTTGACAGTCATGATGTAAAGAAGAATGTCGTTGTCATTGAATTCTAAGAATACTCATGTAAGTTCAATTCATTTAACTGGTTTTATTTTTTAAATAAGCATAGAAATTTAAAATGTAAACAGTGCAACTGTGTCCAGGTCCCTTTAAACTTGCTCGTGCTACTAGAGGTGGTAATCTGTTCCAATCCTTGTTGGTTTGTAGGAAAAAGTAGAACTGGCACACATCCTTCCTAGCAAACAATATGGATGATATGTTGACCTCTAATTCTGCTGTGTGTGTGGTTAAGCTACCAAGTTCAGCCAGATTTTAAATAGTGGTAGAAGGTGGATCTTGACTTTCATGATTGATAGTTGTTCCCAGCTAAACCAGCTAATCATGTTAGTGACACAACCTGAAGGACTCTCCTTTGTGGTGCCTCCGCAGCCGTCTCACTTTTGTGGTCATCCAGGGATTTGAATGATGGTTTCTGCTTAATTTGGATTGAGTATATTCTTCAATGTCCACGGTGGTAGTAATTTAGTCCTTAAATTCGGTCTAGGTGTCATCCACTGTCTCAAACTAATGTCTTGTCCATAATGTTACCAATGTTGCCATATTTATTACGTGTTTACAAATTCTGTTTCTATCAGTTTTATGCAATACATGTAATAATATTTAGGTGTGTGTTGACAGAATGTGTCAAGAGAATGATCTATCGTCACTTTTTCCAAGATATCGATAACTGTACATTTGTCAGTGATTGAAGGATGGAATGTAAAGAAGAGGTTTAGTATCTTGAAACCTCTAGCTATAGTAAGGAAGTAGATCGCCTATTTTATGTCTTCTGACTTAGGAGATTATGTTAGTGGTAGTTCGCCAAAAGAAAATCGGATACAGATAAGCTGACCGAGTTACTGGACTCTGCATCATTTGAAAGATGTATGAATGAATTAAATATAGACATGGTGGATTTTCAAAGTGTTGTAAAGAAATCGGGAATTTCTCAACTGGTGCAGATTCATAAGACTGATGTTTATAAAATAATGGTTATATTTTCATAGAAACTGATTTGCTTGAAGGAAAAAAGGAGTATCACTTAAATATTGCATAACATACCTATATATTAATTAGCTCATTATCTTGCAGTTTGATAAATCTTTGCATTTGTTGATACTTATGGCATTGGGATTAGGTTGGCTTAATGGAATATAGGATTTGTTGGCTTATGCATTGTCTGAATTGGACCTAGTTATGTGAATCAAGTGAGACTTGTGCTCTCTAGGCTTATTATCACCATCAGGATACAAAACCAGTTGTACACAGTTGAAATATTTGGATAATTATAAATTTGTTAAATAGTACGTGTTGTAAATTAGTTTGAATGAAAGGTGCATGTTGTTGTTAAAAAAATGATTAATTCCATAGCATTCTTATTGTTCATTGTTGTGATTTCTTAGTGTACATGTACATGCTAAACAGAATGATGTATTATTAGAATTTTATTTCCAGGAGAAAATGACATTTTCCCATGAAATATGGGAAACTCTTGAAATGAAAGACAAGACTTTGCACAAACATCTACGTGAGGATAGACAGTTTGCAGTTGGATTCCATGACAATGAAAGCATTGAGAATATTAAGCTGTCAATAATTGATGTTGTGCAAAATCTACATCACTGGGGAGAAAAACTTCCACAATCATGGGCTATGTTTGAAAAATTCTTCCAGGAAAAGAAATCCCAGAGGATAATGAAAAAAGAAATGCTGCTAGCTTTCAATGATGCATTACCAGAGGGAATAAAGCTCCAAACAGTTGACATCAATTTTATGCTGCAGTTTTTCCATGACATCAGAGAAATTTTATACTTCAACCAAGAACTACTCAATGAAGTAATTATTCTTGATGTGCAGTGGTTTGCAAATTTATTTAAAAATGTAATAACAGATAAAAACCATGCAGAGAAGGATTTATGTAGGTTTGCATCAGACTGGAAAAAATTTGATAAAACTGGAGTATTGAATGACACTTTACTATCAGCTATTTGGGAAATGAAGAGAAATACCGACATTGAACACAAAGCAGATGTCATGCTATACATGGAGAAACTAGGATTATTAGCGAAATTGGATGACAAAAAATGGTATGTTCCCTGTATGAACAAAATGCCATTTCCTGCAAATCTCTTTACTTCATACCCTGCCTCATCCATCCTCTGCTACGTGTTTGATGTTCTTCCTGCTGGCATTTTCCATCGCCTTGTAGCTACATGCATGCAAATTCCTTGGGAAATTGTAACAGAGAGAGACAGACTATGTATATACCAGACAACAGCTGTATTCTTGTTTAAGGATCATAACATATTACTTGGAATGACTCCGAGAGAAATTCAGTTACAGGTGTTTGTTATTGAAGGAGAAGTTGAGATATCAAAATGCTACGAAGTAAAGGAAAAAATTGACAGTTTACTAAATGTTCTTTCCAGAACATTCCAAACTGACTTTAAATTTATGCTTGGCTTTAAATGCAAATCTACAGGATTTTGTGATAATCAAGAAAGTTCTGTTATCAATGAATCAGAATTTACAAGACCAACTTTTCAGTGTCCTTGCTGTCCAATAGAGAGAAAGCACATCATTAACACAAATGATGTCAACAAATATTGGATGCAGGTATTTAATTGTAATGGTTGTTCTCTCCGAAAGAGAAAAAAATTACAGGAATTATTGTTTTTGTAAAAGATGCTGATTCTGTATCAAAGCTTGTCCGTTTTGTCATGACTATCTAGATGTATGTTTGTTTGAATTAAACTAGCCCCACAGGCCTTACATAAATTACATCTCAACTAAGCTCATGAACTTCTTAAAAATTGCAGCATTCCGAATGATCAATGTTTGAGTTTCTTAAATTATGGTCTTTAAGGTTAGAATGAAAGTACACATTTTGAGGGGAAAAAAGGATTAAAAATGAATTAAAAATAAAAACAAAAAAATGAAAATGCAGCTTCGTAAAAAGTAAATTTAAATTATTCAAATAACTACCTATGATATAGGAATATAGGGAAAAAAAACTGTTTTCATCATGAAAAATTAGATCACGACTCGTTAGAGTATATATATAAAAGAAGTAGAGATTTTTATGTTCAGTTAGCTATATTTTTGCAAAAAAAATCTGAAAACTATACAATCTTCTTCCCCACCCCCTCCAAACAAAAACTACCTACCTACCTACCTACCTAAGATTGGCCTAATCCAAGTTCTTGAACTTCTTAAGAATTGCAGCATTTTGAATGATCAATGTTTGAGTGTCTTAAATATGGCAAAATAGTAGACGGATTAATATTGTTGTATAATGAAATGTCTTGAACCCCCCCCCCCCCCCATTTTTATCACGAAAAATACGACCACAACTCGTGAGAGTAATACAGGTCCGTAGGAAGCAATTTCAGTTGGGGGAGGGGGCACAGCCATACATTATCAGTTGGGGGTCACTATCAACTACAAAACATTTCTTGACAAGCAAAAAAAAAAAGTCATCATATGTTTTTAATGAGGGGGCACATGCATATAGTACATGTGTAGCTATGTTTTCTATAGTATTCAATATATCGGCAAAATTATTCCCCCTCCCCGTTCCTACGGCCATGTAATATACATTTCCGTGTAATATTATTAGATTTATATTTGTACACATCAGGCTCCCAATATTAGGTGGAGGAGGCAATGGAAACGATGGAGTTTGTGTTCAATTTTGTTAAAATCAGTGCTTTGAATACTTATTAAATAAGTGGGACCACTACCTGGCATGAGATATATATGTGTATGTACTTTCTCACTAAGAAGACTACAAGTCTTGAGCAACAATGCAATAATTGCTCATTTCACTGACACATTCATATGTATAGTGAGATATACATGTATAATGTAAGACTTACATGAGCATTGTGGTAATTAGCCTCTTGTTTCATATCGTTCCACTGTTATGCATTCATAATACAGTGGTTCCCGTTTTATCGAATAGTCAAGTTGTCAGCCTAGTTTTATCCGAATAGCCGAATATTAGAATAGCCGATTGCTCCATACCGAGTCCAAAGATAGATGTATAGAGCTACATGTATTGATAATACATCGTAGTAAATTTCAAACTTGCACTTTCGTTCTCTTTTGACATGTTTACTTAAAGACTTTACTAAAAATAATTTATTTCACTTACTTATAAATTTAATATGAAATTTTTTTTCAAATAAATTGACGTATAGAATATATTCTTTGATAGTTATTGCCATCTTTCTTCAGCACATGTTTACATTCCTTCTTCGATGGTCGCCATCTTGGAAACGGAAGTAGACTAAATGCTTGACTAATAACCGTAAACTATTTTTCCCTGGATAGATTGTAAATTAAAAATAAAAATATTAAATATATGTAATTGTTTCGTTTTTATTTGTTTCTTTAATACGGTTACGTATTTTATACTGTGTGTAAGTTTACCAGTCTCGTACTTGTCTGCTGAAGAGAGATTTTGAGAGCCATGTGGAGAAAGATGGTATGAATTTTGAGATGTATATTTATAGAACGGACCATTTGTGATTTTTACCATAAATTTTGCACTGAAAAGTGAATAAATATTAAGCCAATTGACCAAGTTAAATGATTGAATAGGCTTATTTCATTATCCAAGCAAATTGTCATACACAAGCTAATCAGTTCAATAATTAAAATTTCACGCCGAAAAAATTGCAAATAATTGTCATAATTAACAAGTGCATCATTGAACCCAAGCTGATCACCACAACTGTAATGAAAACATATCTATTTACTATGCCCACTATTGACACAGGTAAGGTGCCTGTGTGCGTCCTGCCGTAACTAATCCCCTCATTATCGTACTCAAGCCAGTCAAGGTAATTGGTGTCAAACTGTGTAAACAAAGGCTTCACATACGAAGTTGGAGGTGTGAACAAGGTGCTGATTATCAATAAACACTATGATAGTCCAAATTTTTGTATCAGATAAAACGAAACTCCAATATTTTCTCATCAGAATATCAGGTGAAATTATTAATAAATATATAAGAAATGGTTTTGTGCTCTGATATTATATTGAAATAGCCGAAATATTCGTTAAACCGCTATCCGATAAAATGGAAGCCACTGTATTATGTTTATAGTATTATTTTATCTTAAATGACTAACATTATAAACACACAGAGTTTTGATTTTGTTTCAATATTTACATATTAAAGGTACAAGACAATGAAGCTGGACCTACTGAAGCTAAACGTATATGTAAAGGTTCACCGTCAGGGAGTTCTGGTCCCAGTGAATCACATGCCAAAGGTATTTTAACTAAAGGACTATATTCGGTAATGAGCAATATTTGCCCCCAAAATCAAATTTGACGGAGAAATATATAATTATGTTCTAAAACAGGGGAATATCTGCAGACTTCAAAGCACTGAATATTTTCATAAGCCATGACGCCATATGCTAGATATGACGTCAGAAAGATGACGTGAATTCAAAATTTCCATGATTTATACAGAAAAAAGTGTATATTATGTCGATATTTTGAGTAAAAGTCACCGAGCGCAGGTCTGCTCCAACTCAATATTTTGATATAATGTGTAGAATGATAATATCAATGAAATATGTAAATATTGTTCTTGAGCAGGCCTGCGCTCTATAAATTTTATAGTAAAAATTGAACAAATTTTGTCCATTTTTTCCTTTTTCTGAAAAATAAAACAAAATCCGAATAGTTTGTGATGTCATAGAAACAAAAGTTGCCAATAATCTACTTCGAAACTATAATATTTTTTGTTAATTTAAATTTCTCGCATAATATATACAATTCAGCACATTTCAAGAAATTTTCAAAATATGACTTTTGTGGGGGCAAGAATGTGCATTTACCGCATATAGTTCTTTTTAGATAAAAACTCTGTTGTTCATTTTACTTAATGCTCGACTTTACATAGCACATGTTATATTTCAGAGGTTTAGTTGCTAGTGACGTAATGTCTTGTACCAGAAATATTGATGTACACATTATATTTCCCATCAACAAAAATGTTTCAGTCATACTCGAATGCATGTATGTAAATTTTCACTGGAAAAGGAAGATTTGCAGTAGGTTTGTTAAATTTAATTTGTTATAAAAAAAGAAGCTTATTAATAAGTTCTGTAAATCAATACCAATTCTAGAGATATACATTGAGGCATTATCATTTCCATTTCAAAAAAATACACTGCATTGAAGAGACTTATGGATAAATCTATTAGAATTAAATTACTTGTCAGACCCCTCCTTCTCTGTCCTTTCCTTTGTTTTTTTGTGTATCCTCTTTACAAATTAAAATACATCTATAAAAGAAAATTCACCTTAAACAATTACATAAAAAGGTAAGATTTAAGAACAATCTCACACTGATTAATAATCAGAAGTATTTAAGTGAGGAGCAGGTATTGATTTTTTCTCTCCCTTAAATATAAGTAATATTCCTTTATTGCATACTTGTTTTTTTTTTTTTACATGTTTGAGAAAGTATTTTAATATTTTTTTTTTATTTTTCATTTACAGTAGTTATATTCATAATTTTGCCATTAATTAAAAAACTGGGGCTATATTTCCATTATATAGATAACTTTGCCAAAATTCTAAAGTTATTGCAAGTTGGAACTGATGCAGTTAGAATCTGCTTTGATAAATTCTTCCCTAAAGAGAATTTAGAAAAGACTCTGAAAGACAATGAAACAGACATGAGAAAAGGACAGTTTCGATTCCTACCACCTCAACTAGAGATTCTTTTCCCTCAAGGTATTTAATGGTTTTCTTCCTTTAATGATGAACGCTATGCTTCTAAAAATATTTTATTGTATAAAAGAAATATAAAAGTTTGTAAAAAGACTTTTTTTCTTAATATTATGATATGAAAATAATGTCTTTACTATATACTACACAATGTTTTTCCTTTAACAATGAAATCATATCCCCTCAAACCATTAAGTTTTTCTCAAACCAAGAAAACCTGTTCCCTCAAGAATTAGTGATTTTACAGTTTTCAAATAATTACTTAGAAAAAGAACAAGAACCTCTTATTCCATTATATATTAACCCTTTTGAAATTGTATTGGATGAAAGGGTAAACAAAAAATTATTTAGAATATTAAAGTATACCTAAAAAAAATCTACCAATAAAAAAAGATTAAGCATTTCTTAATATCAAAACAAGAATGGGAAACTATAACTTTAAACGAATTTTAATGCTGCCAAGGATAGAAAATTACAGTGGTTCCAATTCCAAATTTAAATGGATTTAATGTTACCAAGGATAGAAAATTACAGTGGTTTTAATACCAGATAAGTCATAAAATTTCAAGAACAACAAAATAATATATAATGATCTCTGCAGCTTTTGCAGTTGAGAAATTAAAGTATTTGAGCACCTTTTTTTTTTTTTATTAAGGTGTTGAGATAAATACATAATAGGAAATGTTTTGCTTGGTTTCAATGGGTTTTTTTTTTAGATAAAATATTCTAATTAAGAAGAAAACCTTTTTGTTTTGTTGTGCTGAAAGTGAAATCATCTAATATGTATCAAACTGACATTTGATACACTGTATTGTTCAAAATGTAGGAAAATCTTTATTTTTAAAAAAATTTAAAGCTTTTTTGACCTATGTTTATGAAACTGAAAGATTAAGAGCATTGAAAGACAATTGTATTAACCTATTTGATGAGCTGTATATATAAATAAATGAGTGTAGAAGAAAATCATTATTTCTACTTTATTCGTCTCAGACGTGTACATTTTGTAGCTTTAGTAATGTTTTAATAATTTTTTGAAGGTGGATCGAACACTGATGTATCATCTTTATCTATGGACGTTACAATTATGTATAAATTGTTGCGGAATTTCTCTGACATTTCTCCCCCTCAAAGTGGATGGGGAAAAGAACCGAAAATAATTCACATTACAGAGAGTGACGATATAGAGAGAATTCGTTTATATAGAAATAAGTACAGCCATGATCCAGGAAGTAGCACTGTGACAAGTGATGACGTCTTCAATATAATCTGGACTGACCTTTCTAAGGTGAGTGAAAGAAATATACGTTGAGGGTTATTTTTCCTTTTCAACAGTGGTAAAATTTAAATGAGACAATTTGGTTGTTGATCATTTCTCGACTGTAAACCATTATTTGTTCTTTTATTAATTTTGAGGGCTAAAGTAAAACATTATAGGGTCAATTCATATCTAGCAATAAGTAGAACTTTTAAAGAGCAAATATCTCTCAAAAGAAATCCAGAATAAAATGAATACAAATTAAATTACAAAATTTAATTACACACATAGAAACCATAAAAAAATCACAGTGGCCAATATATATATATATATATATATATATATATATATATATATATATATGTATTGAATATATATATATATATATTGAATATATATATATATATATATATATATATATATATATATATATATATATATATATATATATATTAGGGATGTCAAAATATTTATTTTCTTTAGTCAAATATTCGATTGCATTATTCCAACGACAGTCGAATATATTCGAAACTTTTTCGGAAACTAAAATTTTATTTCAAACTTCACTGGTACATCACATATTTAATCCCAAATCCCCTTGTTTTTTAAATTGATTAAAAAGTTACATAAAATGTTACACACAGATGTTCACATGGACTTAAAATGTGGATAGCGTGTTTATATTTACTTAATATAGACCGTTAATTTCTCCAAAATGTAGGATTTCACCGTCAATCATGTTCATAAATTGGTCTGTAAAGTCGGTTTTTTAGGAAGCATAAAAATGACTGTGTGATATATTTTTTTTAAAGCTTATTAAAATGATGGGGGGGGGGGGGGGCACATACGGTGACCTTGATAATGTTAAATATTTGAATATATTTTTTGTACCAATTATCAAAATGTCCTTAAAATATGTAAAAGAATATTAATTTTATAATAATGATCGTAGTGTCCAAACATGTCACGGCTATAATGGGTACATGTACATGGTATGAGATCAAGTCCAATTAATAATTTTACAAAGAAAGCGCAGTATGGCGAGATAATTTTATTACGAAAACAACACATTAATTGACAATAATTCACGCGGAAGTGAAGCGTTTCTAATCACTGTACTTTCTACATGTAAAGTCAGCAGTTTTTAATGAGGAAAATTATCTTATCGACTGTGTCTGAGGGAAGACGGTTTCTCAATTTTAGGATGAGAATTCCAACTCTTTATCACTCTTTTATTGAATTTATTTATTCGAATGTCGTTTCGTTATTCAATCGTCGGTCCATTCGACTGATGGTCGAATAGTCGACTATTCGTTGACATCCCTAATATATATATATATATATATATATATATATATATATATATATATATATAATATTTTTATAGAGTTGCCTTTTTTATTTCTTTTCAGGCCATACTAAGACTTAGTGGTGACGTTTTGAAGAGAAGGATAAGTGAAATATAACTGAGTGGATAATTAAATTTGTCAACATAAATGTGACAATAACGAACATTTCTATTAGGAAAAAAAAGGGATGTCTTAATGGTGATATTAAGCCACATTTATAGTGCAATATATTATAGTGCTGATTTTAATTTTGACAAACAAGATATTCATTTTCCTATGACAACGTAATGATGTGAAATACCCGCCATGGTTAACAGTTCAATATTGAATTTGAATTTATTTTAGAGTGGTATTTTACATTTTAGTTAGCCATGATGTTTTTTAATCTATATCTGTACATATTGTAACTAATCGTGCTTTTGTTCGTTTAGAAATTTTCATTTATCTTTATCGATAAATGATCGATATATTTTAGGAATGACTCTAATTATTGGCCAAATTATTCGAGTATAACCTGGTTTGGGTCAGTTTACGCTTTATAATCCGCGAAGCGGATTATAAAACAGCGTAAACTGACCCAAACCAGGTTATACGCGAATAATTTGGCCAAGAATTAGAGTCATTCCTTATAATTTAATTTTAAAATCATTAAATAACTATGGGTGTAAAATTTCGTTGCTTTTTATTAGTTCAAATTTGCCGCTCAATAATACAACCTTAGTAACGGAAGTAACGGAAGTGATGGGAAGCGAGGGGAGGTAAAAACTGATACAGAGGCCTAGCAGCCTTGCTGTTTGTTTACATGTGGTAAGATCGAATTATTGTTTGAAGTTAAAGGTACATTTATCAAATCTGGAATTTTCCATGAATCCCGAGGACTGGAAATGAGAGGATTGTATGGATACAGATGATTCAGCTCGTTGTCAGGGGGGGTGTGTCCCCATACCAAACCAGGTTATACAGAAATAATTTGCGTAGCTTTTTGGATATTAACCAATCAGAGGCTAGAATACAAACAAAATTAAATTATAAAACGATATTTTATGGTTTTATTTTTCCTTTTTATGAGAAATTTATTTTGCAAATAAACATAAAAATATGGTCAGCAAATTAATGCAATGAGTACAGCAGTCTTCTGTTACGTCACCTGAGTCTTTAAGATGATCTTCTTATCTGTTTTGTCCGTCGTCGTCCGTTAACCTCTTCTCTGGAAGCACAGAACCAATTTAACCGGTCTTGGATCTATGGGCGAAGGGGTACAAAAATCGAAAATTTCATTGTCAATGGGGTTAAAACCATCAAATCATTTACAATCTTTAAAAATCTTTAAAAATCTTCTTCTTTACTCCTGAACATCAGGCAGTTGAACTGTTGTACACACTGTAATAAGCAGTGAGTCCTCTATTATTTTTTTTTTTAAAATTCCTATCCCCAGAGCAGTGGTTCTGTAAGGATCTGGCTTTAATCATTGTATTGTGAAATAAATAAATTCTGAAAATCTATCCCCTGTATATTTTGAGAAGAATTTAGGGACATGGTTATGTTATGATGTGCCTGGGCATTAATTAAGTTCATAAACTAAGTACGTTGTTATGATGAGCGAGGTTGTCTCTTCCAAATATGTGAATGTCATGGCCACTGGGTAGGCGCTTTTGCGGCTCTATTGATTATTTAATGAAAATGTATGAAGTCTTTGACAATCATCTCTGCTTCTAGGTATTAGCAGATAAACAAAGTGCACGTTTATAAGGAGTAAGGGGACTTCTTCCAAAATTGTGAAATTTTTGGCCCGAGGGTCAGTGGCTGCTATATTGGAAAAAAAGAGGGGGTCTATTGAATATAATGCATTTCATCTTTGAAAATCTTCTCTGCTTCTGGAAGTAAGGACACAAATTAAGTACTAGGTTATGATGAACAAGGATGTCTCTTCCAAAATTATGAATTTTATGCCCCTGGGTCAGGTTTTCATCTTTCTCTTGCACTAAGGCAGCGTATGTTCATTTATCAGTTTTGTTTTTCACTTTATTATATTTCTATGGATCCTTTTTAGTTATGATACATTATTATTTGATTGAATTTAGCGTAAATATTTCTTACATGTGCTTAATAAATGGAATAAAGTTGAAACATCAGCTTGTCGTATAAGTGAGAAAATAATGTTTGATATCACACTTTTTGTAAAGAAGATGGGTGAACAAGGCGGGCGAAGTGCCTATAGTGCGACAAACATGAAGTGAAAAACAAAATCTCAGTTATATCAAAATTTTCTTCGATATTTCATCTAACATTAAAGTATATTTCATGTAAAATCTCTACAATTTACAAAACTCTCACAAAGACTGAAATTATTTGCCTACGAAATAGCATACACACACTAAAGATGACAAAAAAGATCATTTTCTCATACTTTAACAAACATTTCCTATATGAGTGGGTCTTCACTCCATTTTTTTGAAAGAAAATCCTAAAAGTTTGCAAAAAAATATACATTTTTTGGTTTACAAAAACATGGAGCAAAGACCCACTATACCTTAAAAGTACACTTTTATGACGAAGCATTTGCACTTTTCCGAGAAATACTTGAAGTCCACTAAGTTAAGGGTCATATCACAAACATGATTTAAATGCCACTGTACATCAGGAGCTGTGTAGCGTAGTGGTTAGCATGTTTGTCTCAAAGCAATATGATACTCCGAATTGTTATTGTTAGGGGTTCGAATCACACTAAAATCTTTTTTGAATAAAAGAATACTTTTTCCCGAGATCTTTTTTTCTCAGAAAAGTTTTGTTAATCATAATTTCATAAATTTCAATAATGAGAACTTTACTTTAAATACTTAATTCACATATTGAATATGTTTTTTTAAATATCTGAAGCTATAGGCATTCTGCCCGCCTTGTTCACCCATCTTCTTTAAGAAAAATATCCAGAGTTTGGCCCCTTTGAAGTCTTTAAAAATACAGTCAAACCTGTATTAAGAGCCCCTCCAACGGAGAAAGGATAAAAGGTCGCATATGACAGGCGGTCTCTTAATACAGGTTGCTTATTTTCCGCAGTGTTCCAATATAAAATGTTAAAAAATATTAAACATATATGTAGATTTTTGTTTTATATCATTATTTTATAAGTACTGCTCAACTGTAAATGATTGTATATTATTGGGTAAAATTGTCATGTTCAATAATAATTTTGTGCTTAATCCAAATATGAGTCATTTTGCTTATAGAAAAATTTTGAAATACTAAGATGTTTTACACATTATAAAAAAGTGGTACAGATTTTTTTCTTATTTTTTTTTTTTTTGGACAAAATGCGAATTGACAAAATGCAATAGAAGATTAGAAACAGGCAGTACTTTGACTGAAAATAGGAGGTACCTAGTGAAAGGAATTTTATCTAAATATTTTATCAATTTTTTCTCCATCAAATATTTGGCTGGTAGAGTCATAATTTCAGCCGGGAAAAAAAATCCGTAAAACTAAAAATTAAATTTCTCTCGCCTTAACAAACATAAAAATGTTTATTATGCTTAAGTAGGCACTGCACCATAATTTCAAGATTGTTCTACAAAATTGGGGCAACCGGAAGTTGGGCGGATAAGGTATGGACACCAAGGTACTGGATGACTACTAGGCGATATGAGAGTCAATCGCTGTATATTATTTGCTTTTTAAGTGGGAGACTGCTTCCGTCGCAACCTTGTGGACCACCTATAGTAATCACCAACTTCATATCATGGCAAAAACGATTCGCAGTGCTCGTCGGAATATTGGTTTTCGGGCAAGAACGCCATGCCAAGGTCTTGATATGACACCCAGACATTTGTCAACCCCACAGTTCTGGAAAAGTTTGCATATTATATATACTAGTACCGATTAGGCAAATCAATTCACAAATAAGAATATCAAATGGTAAGTGAGCAATTTTGTCTAGTGTTTTCGCAAACATCTTAAGACTTACATTGAAATGTGAAGAATTTAAAACGGACATAAATAATTCTCAAAAGTGCATTTATACAATAAAAATTATGAGCAAATTATGAAGAACCGTGAAAAACAAAAATAAATTACTGATTTGTGTTCATCATTTGTTGCTAATCTTGTAAAGAACCAAAAATATTTATCTTATGCATGTACATATATAAATATAAAAATAACAGTATTTTAAATATGGTTTTAATTTTTTATGTTGCTCAGTCTATTCAGATATCTGAATAAATATTGTTTATAAATTCTTAAAAATCGACGAAAATAACTTGTGTGCCCCAATACACATGAATCGTCTGACAATAAGTGCCTGTGAATCGGGTACCATGTCAAAGCACGATTTAAAAAAATGTATTCAAGAAATGTACTTAAAATATCGTGATTATACTAGCACTGTCACTACATTTATCAGAGTGTTCTCCCTGTGTAGAATTGTTCCTTTGGGACCTGTCTTTATGATGGCCGATAGCGGTCGTCAATTTACACTAACGTTGGGTGTATAATCATGGACAGCATTTTGACTGAAAACTCACTGACACGTAACACCATGAACACAGAAAAGTAAAAGTGTAGAAAGTGTACAGTGTCATTGCTAAAATCCGTGTAAACTATACACCAACATTAAGTCTGTAAAATGTCAGGAAAAGTTGAACATGTGCATTCCATACATCTGAAGATGGTATCAAGTATCAAAACGGAATAATTAAGCGTTTCTTTTGCTTTGTCCCTGCAAGGTGCCTTTTTGATCTGGGGAAATGCGAACAAGGTTCCCTGGTAATTAATGAATACCTAGAAACTGAGAAAACATCATAATTATACTCCCGCTCCGAAGGAGAGGGGGGTATACTGTTTTACCCTTGTGTGTCTGTCTGTCTGTCCGTAACAAATTTTTCGTCGCAGTTTTCTCAGCAACTACTCAATGCAGGTGCTTGAAATTTTACCACACTCTTTGTTTAGGCATGCCATATGGTGGGATTTATTTTTGTACGAATCCGATGTCAACTTCCTGTTTATCCGTGCATCTGTCCGTACCATACATAATAAATTTTCGTCACAGTTTTCTCAGCAACTACTCATCGCAGATGCTTGAAATTTTAACACACTCTTTGTTTAGGCATGCCATATGGTGGGATTTATTTTTGTATGAATCCGATGTCAACTTCCTGTTTATCCGTGCGTCTGTCCGTACCATACATAACAAATTTTCGTCACAGTTTTCTCAGCAACTACTCATCGCAGATGCTTGAAATTTTAACACTCTTTGTTTAGGCATGCCATATGGTGGGATTTATTTTTGTATGAATCCGATGTCATCTTCCTGTTTATCCGTGCGTCTGTCCGTACCATACATAACACATTTTCGTCAAAGTTTTCTCAGCAACTACTCATCGCTGATGCTTGAAATTTTAACACACTCTTTGTTTAGGCATGTCATATGGTGGGATTTATTTTTGTTCGAATCCGATGTCAACTTCCTTTTTATCCGTGCGTCTGTCCATACCATGCATAACAAATTTTCGTCACAGTTTTC